TGTCCATTTTAGGGAATAGTCCAGCCCATCGTTTAGTCCAGTCCAGGGTTTAGTCCAGTCCAGGGTTTAGTCCAGTCCAGGTTTTATTCAAGTTTAGGGTTTAGTCCAGTCCACCTAAGGCACCTCAGAAAGTGGTCATTCCCTAAAAACGCCTGATTGATGAAGCAGAGACTCCATGGTCGGATTTAGAAACCTCCTCTTAGCTCAGCTGGTTTACACATTCAGGGTTTTGACCTCCAAAGCTTCTGCTGTGGCTTTCTGCCAGTAAATGTGACAGCTTTATGTTTCAGAGACGTCCTGGATGATTGACTGTTAATAACCACAGTGGAGGCTAATCTGAGGACAGGACTTCAGCCAGACGCACAGTCCTGAGGGAAGCAGGCCATTAAGTCCTGAATCCAGCGTGGAAATGATTTGAGTTCTGAATACGGCTGAACTGAGCAGGAGTCACTCCTAGAGGGGATCTATGAAAGGAGAGGAAAAACAGCCAGACTCTCTCCTTCCTGTTCCTGGGATTTAAACAGTTATGCTGACTGCTGATGGCTCCTAAAGGGGGGGGGATGATTGAACTGATGCAGCGACAGCAGCTTCTCTGATCATAGCATCGCTAACCTTTCTGCACATCTGGGCAGCTGTGAGATCAGCAGACCTTAACCTGCAGAGACAGTTGCTCCATAAACACGTCATCCAACAGCATCCATCTCTTCTAAATATTAGCATTAAGATTCCCTCTAATCTCAATCCATCTTAATCCCAATCTCCGCTTCAAACAAGGCAGGAAGCTCCATCACCTCATGGCTTCTTTCCACAGAGGTGGAAGGAAATATATAGAGCCCCCAATCACTGCAGGTGAGGAGGCATGAAAAGGTGATCATATGTGAGCAGCCGCTAACTAACCAACCAACTAACTGAAAAGCTAGCTAGCTGGTTAACTAAATTACTATCTAACTAGCTAGCTCAATCAGCTAACTAACTAACTAACCAACCAACTAACTAACTGAAAAGCTAGCTAGCTGGTTAACTAAATAACTATCTAACTAGCTAGCTCATTCAGCTAACTAACGAGCTAACATACTTACTAGCTGACTTGCTAACTACCTAGCTAACTAACTAACTAACTAACTAACTGGTTAGCTAGCTAACTTACAAGCTAACAAGCTACCTAACTTACTAATTAACTTACCAAGTGGCTACCTAAATATCTAGATACATAGCTAATTAACTAACTATATAAATAGATAAATAACTAGCTGGCTAACTAACTACATTAACCAGCCTTGGAGTTATATTCTGAACAGCCTCATTAACATGGAGGAAAGTTCAAAGAAAGCAGTTAGCAAAACCTTTAGCAGAACCATTAGCAGAACCATTAGCAAAACCTTTAGCAGAACCATTTAGCAGAACCGTTAGCAGAACCATTAGCAAAACCTTTAGC